CGTTTGTAATGTGTGTTTTTGTTTAACGGTGCAGTACGGCGCCTGCTGCTGTGTGAGGAACTGGACCGCTCATCTTGTGGCAGCGTCCTCTTCCACGGTTACCTGCCTCCTCCAGGTAAAAACACCAAACTAAGTGAACAACAAAAATAGTTTTCTACTGAGACGACACCGAAAACAATTCCAGGATGGAACTGATTTATGTTTTTGTCAGAGAATATTTCGATAAGGAAAAAATCAGCAGGTTTCTGTTTGTACATCCTGACATATTTACTCGACAGCTATCCCTCCCCGCAAGTCCAGTTCCGCCCCTGATGAGCGACCAGGTCCAAGTGGAGCAGAGGGCTTCACGCGAGTCAGCCCCCTTCCCCACCCTTCCTTGTCGGACTCGCCCTGCGATGACACTGAGAAACTAGGTAATACAAATACATTTCACATTTAGTTTTGTAGTGAAAGAAAATCAAGCAGTAAATGTAAACATGAGAGCCATTTTAACAGAAAGCTAAAGCTTTATTTTCTGCTGCACCATCTGCCTTCTTATAAACTTTTACAAACCGTGTAGCATATTTTCCCCTTCAGGTTGTGCATCTTCATATGTGTGCCAAATGCACATCTCAAAGAGAGCACAGGACCGTAATATTTGTGTTTCTGAGTGTGCATTAATGCTGCAGCTAATGTGACCTGAAATGGTTTTAGTGCGCTGACTAATGGCACAGCCTGAAGTAGCCCCACTTTTTACATCAGCTGGAGATTTTCTGACCATATCAGAGAATAAAATGAGAAGCATTAACCAGGATCTTCTCGTTTTTTGGGAAAAAAAAAATAGTTATTGAAAATTTTACAAGAAAAGAATAAAGTAAAAATGTCAATTTATTTGACTTTTTCTCCGGTACTGAAAGATTTCTGTGTATTGTGTTTTTTGTGTAGTTCCCATTGTTGACCCCAGGAAAGTATTGATTGTAGCGGGACACCACAACTGGATTGTAGCAGCTTATGCGCACTTCGTCATCTGCTACAGGTAGTTCTGTAAATCTTCCTCACGCAGCTCTGACTTCATTAGCTTGTCACGATTTGTAGAGCGACTGAACCCAGGAGATGCAGACCAACGCCAGGATTGATTTCTTTAATGAGACTCTAAAATCAGAGACTGAGATGTTATTTTTTTTCTAAAATTGAATTGCTGACCTCATTTTCTACCAAACTCTTAACAAAAGAGGAAACATAAGAGTCTGTGTGTATGCATGTGCTGTCACTGCAGGATAAAGGAATCATCAGGGTGGCAGCAGGTGTTTTCCTCACCCTACCTCAACTGGACTATTGAGCGTGTTGCACTTAATGCCAAAGTGGTGGGCGGTCCGCATGGAGACAAAGACAAGATGGTGGCTGCTGCGTCTGAAAGCAGAATCATCCTCTGGAGTATCCAAGATGGGGGCAGTGGAAATGAAATAGGTGGGTTTAGCACGTTTAAAAGAAGACAAAAACTCCTGAAATCTATTGAATACTTTTTGTTACAGAGATGCTTTATACGACGGAGTATTATGGCCACACAAGATTTTTTTTTTAAATTACGAGAATAAAGTTTTACGAGAATATTACGACATTAAAGTCGTATAAAAATAAAGTCAAAATATTATGAGTATAAAGTCGTAATATTGTGAGATTAAAGTCATAATATTACAAGTTTAAAGTCATAATATTACGAGTTTAAAGTCATAATATTACGAG